TTATTACTTTAGTTGAAAAGATGAATTTAAGTACGGGCCTATAAGGATGAATAATATACCATGAACGTTATCAAATAGTCACTGGCAGACTCAAATGGTCCAAGAAATTAAGGTGCAATGCCCATCAGGAGTAGTAATTTAGTAATCAATAGTAATTATAGTTTAGGGACCATAACCTGTTAGAAATGGACTGTCAATTTTCAGTGCGATTCGTCGTTTCATTAGCATCGAACAGCAGAAATGCAAACTCGAACGAAACTCTTGTAAAAACACCTTTGGGGTAGTGTTAATCTAATTAAACTTTGCCACTATTGACATTTATGCAAAGTAACCCTGTCTAGACGAACGTCTTTACGTACACCTGAAGCAAACCGAATGAGCACGCTTAAAGATTGTTGCACCGCTTTTTTTTTATTAAAAGGCTACGTAATTGAGAACTTATTTTCGAAACAACAGTAACAATTTTGCAATTTAAACACGAACTTTCTTGTTTATAATTACGGTTGTACAAATAGAAATACAATGCGGTGTACTTGTTCCTAAAGTTTCGTCTGCAAATGAAACAAATGCATGCACCAGTTCGCTTCAGCCACAATAAAATAGGTACATTTTCTCTTACGTATACCTAGTCATCTCGAAATCTTGAGACCACCTTCATTCCGTTTGTCTCGATTATTTGAACATTTGATGTGGGTAAACTTACTTACTTCACTCTTGCTTTGTGTTGAACTTGTGCTTAGCTAGGCGTTCAACTTGAGCATATTAAATGTAAAGTGAATTCCTCGTAGAAAACAAAAAAGTTTACACGATGGAATGCATATATTAGGATTAATTTATTTCTCCAATCTTCTACGTTCCAATTGGCCACTTAACCTTTTTTATGTAGCGTGACGCCTTTAAATGTCATTAATGTACAATTCAATCTAAATCAATAACGAACTAAATTGCATAATATAATCATAGCGGGAATTTCAACGAACAATTTATGACCAGTGGTATACTCGAGTTAGACAAAAAAGCATGTGATCAATAATAAAATGTCAAGTGGCAAAACCTCTAACCTGTCTACTCCTAAATAGTTAAACGTTGAAGTGAGTATCGGTGATTCCCTCAATTTCATATTTATAAACGGGTTCTTCAACAGCCAACAGCATTTTGTTTATGAGTAGGGTTTGAATTTGGTTAAAAAACATTGGGTTTGTGTCGAAAACCTATTCAAATTTTCAAGTCCATTACGAAAATGAGCGCTCAGTTAAGACATTTCTTAAAATTGGGGATATTTTTGGTGGTTATAATAGCCCATAAGAGGCTCCAATTATGAATTTAGTGGAAAAATTTATTAAAACTGGTTCTGCACTAGTGATGTGGATTGTAAAATAACGATTTGTAAGTTACATTAAAAAACTGTTATATTACGCGTAACTTACAAGAGGTCGGTTTTTTATGTAATTTATGCGTTTTTTGAAATATACATAACTTACGTTTTTTATTTAAAAACCGTAATTTTTGTAAATTTGCATAAATGTAATACCTATTTGATACATTTTGATCGGTACTACCAACGTAAACGATTCACCGTTTACAGAAATTGAGCCTTATAAAGTGCAGTTGATTCATGAAATGAAGCCATCTGATTACGTCGACAATGTACTGATTACATCATTGAACAAGTTGCCGGATTTTCAAAAAAATCATATTTTCTGATTCCGATTCACCTAAATTGTTATGTTTAAACAAAATTGTTACATCTGGAATTCAAAAAACCCTACAAAGGTTCAAAAAGGACCTTTACATCCAGATTTCTGGTGTGCTTTGTGGTTTGGAGATGTCATTGGCCCTTATTTTTGAAAATAAAGCAGATGGGCTCTTGCAGTTAATGGAATGCACTGCAAGGGCATGATAACTTTTGTTATCTTTTTTATGATATGGATAATATTGCTGTGTGGTTTCAACAGGATGCCGCCACACAGCGTTGTAGCTACCGGTATTTCAGTACCTCGCAGTTTCACAGAGCAGGACGGACGAACCTCCTTTACAATTACCAATAGATAACGTAAAAACAATATATTATATCTATCCCGTAAGTGGGGCAGAACAATAGGCCTGGATAAGTGCAGTTACAGTAGAAATTCATGTAGCTTTACCAATTCTTTACAGAACGTTTCCTTCTTGTAACATGTGGCCGCTTGTCGTTTCAAAAATTTGGTTTTGGATTTGTATTTTGTTCAACATATGAAAATTTTCACAAATACCGCTTCATAGCGCACATGAAGGAAAGTATGTCTAGAATAAGAGCGATTAAAACGCGTACAATTTTGATAAAAGTCTGCCTTTTTCGAGATAAAAAACCGGTGAGCCCATAGTGCGGGTTTTTAAGACAGTCTAAGTTATACCGTCAGCGAGCACGTGCGTTAAAATTATGCTTCGTTTTAGCTTCAAGAGTGATGGCGTAAAATATGGCTCTGTCCCTTCATTCCGACACAAAAAAATAAAAGCTTTGTCCCAGGCTGGGCTGCAAAAAATTATAGCTGTGTGAAATGGCTTGAGTTCATTACACCACTAGAATAACACTTACCTAGCTAGATCAAAATTACACAAATTAAACCTTGTAACATACCCCTTATATTACTACAATCTACTTAGATCATCTATTCTATAGACATATAATAAACGGGTAAGTAGAGTTGGCGTTGCAATTTCTCAAACCCGCCGTATAAACATGAACGGCCAACTAACTCAGAGTAAAACAAAAAATAAGAGCTTCCACAGCAGTACTTTCATTCTGGATAAACTGATCTTCTTAACTTATCAAGGGTTGAGCGCCACTCAATTTTTAACTTAACTCTCCCCGTATGAAATTGGAAAGATACGGGGGTATTACAAAGAGTACAAATCGACTTAAGTACCAAAATAAATGCTGGTTTATTGTCATTAAATATTAAATAAACTCCCCAATGGGGTAGCGTACACAAATATTGAAAATGATAATTTACGTTACTTACAAATCTGAGCATTTTGACTTTACGAAAGTAAACTCTCAGTTTAACAAAACTCCAGTGAAGAATAATCAATTAAATAATTACTTATTACTTGATCTCAAAACCAAGTTCCCGCAAAAAAATGATCCGGACACAAATGCGCACGTGTAGTGCCAAATGCAAATAAAAGATATGAGGCAATGCTTACCTTGATTTAATAAGATGTTATCCAGAGAAGTGAGCTCAGTTCCCGGATCCATAAATTTGCAAACAAAAGAAATCTGCCAAGTCGCCTTACTCGTAATAAGTTCACAAATACGATACTTAATCAACCAATTGCTACATAAGGAAGTGGAACGTTACTAATAGCATACGCGGGTCTAATTCGATCATCACTTCACAGAGATCGCAAGATAATAAATATAGATACTGACGTCAACAAAATGACTTTGCAAAAATAGTTATTAATTAATACGCAAAAAGTTACGGAAGTTGTTTTTTGGTTGACGACCGAAATTGTTATCAAATGTGGTGCATGACCTCATGACCCAATTTCAGCAAATGGCGGCTTCTATCAGCAGATGGAAAGGTTTTCAAAAGGCGTTGGCACTCCTGCACCGATGGTGAATTTACTTCAAGGTTACCCACATGCGTATGTAAAATATATCCGGAATTATACTTAAAATGGTATTGGAACTGGTTCTTAAAACTGGGATTTGCAATTAAGACTGTAATTAAACTCGAACTAAGATTACAAACACTAAATGTCCGAGTTAATCAAATTAGATCATACGCCCTAATGTATGGCCAGAGTTTCTTATTCCGTATGGTGTCTGGTTAATCAAATTAATTAATTAATTAATAAAAGAAAATCACAGGTATCCCTATTCGTTGATAACCTTAAAATATACATACCCCTTTAAATAAGAGGGGTAATAACCTAAAGAAAAATACACTTGAAGTATATCTGTAAATGCAAATGCCGTACTAACGATAAGTCAGAAAAAACGCAATTATATCCTTCTTACTATTGGAGTTGATAATTTCACGCTAAAAATTGCGTGTTTAACATTCCAAGATTACGACTGCTACGACGATCTTCCAATAAGTAAATATTGGCTGCTTCGTAATGAAGAAAATAAAGCGTTACCCATAGGCACCCATTTATTTGCAATAAAGGGCTATAACGGTTTCATTTGGGCGCAAAAAGAAATGCCGGTATTGCTCCGGTCTAGCTCTGATGCAGGAGCGAGGCGGTTCAGATTTCAGGGATATATTCGCGTGGTTCTGATTGACTAGGGTAGCGCCACTACGTTTGGAAATGCAAGAAGATACCTACAGGAAACGCAGAACCTGAAAGATAAAAGGACACACAACAACACATACCTGTAAATTAAAAAAAAAAAGAACTATTGGGGGTGAACTGGTCGTTTATTAAATTAGTTGTTGATATGCATAGAATTTAAAGATCTGTATATCTATAATATCAAGGGATCGCTGTATCTTGAACGGTTAATAAAAATTTTAGATTAAAGTTCCAAACGTACAAATAATGAAAATAAAATAAACTCTTGCAGTAGCAAGTGCCGCTAGATCCTCACGCTTGGGGTCTAGAGCGTTTAAAATGAAAATCAAAAATAATTAGTGCGGGGGTAAAACAAAGGCCTTTCTTTCACGGGCTACTAAAAACGTACCTCACCTCGGGCATTCTACCTTTTTAAAAACCAAAAAGAAAACAACAGGCTACCTTGATAACTGCCTAACAATCATAAACGTACAAAAATAATAATTCGGTGCAGTAGGCACAACCAAAAAAAGTAGTTCTAATCGTCCGACCAACCAGAAGGGTTGTCGGTTTTAAAGTAATACATAACCAATAACAGCACAACGATGTTTTTATTTTACTTATCTTTTTTTTTCTTTACGTGACCAGTGTTCAGTGATAAATTGTTGAAATTAAAACACGAATTACAACAAAACAAAGGAACTGAAAGGAAGTAAGGAGAGGAAGGGAACAAAATGGCAAGGGTGTCTCTACGTGGATGCAGGATTCGATGGTTCGTTGCAAAGTAGTCGGGAAGGTTCAAGTAATAAACAGCTGACCTTTCGTTGTAGAATACCGTTCCACAATTGGGGTTGGTGACGCCACGCAGAGAACGACAGGGACGCACTTGTAGGGGATGATCGGTGATGGCTCTGCGATGAATGGGGCGCAGGGCTCCTCCTTATACGGGTTGATGTCGATGGTAAAGCTATGCGTTTCCCTCACAATGATGGACGAGACGAAAAACGTACAAATTGGTAGGTAGTAAAAATCGGCTAAAAATAATAGTTTACCAATAAGGGCTGGGAATAACAAAACAAGATGTACAAACCTCTAAAGATCGTAAACGAGCCAAAGTATCAAGCCGATGACCAATGTGCTTCCAAAATCCGCTTGGCGAAACTCCAAAAATATTACCACGAGAACCAAAAACGTCTCCAAAATTGGGTAACAATTAGAAAATATTTACTTCAATGTGTGAAGATCCTTATAATTAATTAAGATGAAATTTTTACACAAATGAAGATTGGCACACTGGACACGACCATGCCAGAATCAAAAGTGACCGGAAAAGAAGATAAAAGGTAAAGGAATTTTATCACAAGGACAAGGACAATACTGGTTTTTAAAATTTAAATACTGAATCTGTACTCTATTCTAACAGGCAACCAACCATACATACGGAAGAAACATAGGGAACGAAACAAACTGTTATAGGGCATCTACAACAACACACCTAACACAGGCAGAGATATATTTTGCACCATAAGTGGAACACTGCACATGCGCAATATGATTCGAATGTGGACAGCTGAAACACATAGGCGGCACAAAAAGGGATCTTCATATTAAATTACGAAGTACATATTTTGTAACTTCCCCATGGAATGAAATTACACTTCTAATTATTACTTTCGTAAAAACTTCTCGTATTTTCTGCTGTCTACGGAAATAATACACCATTAAAATACCGGGAATGTCAATTGTACTGACAACTCAGTGTGCATGATCGGTATTCTACTGTTGGCCTATTTCTCTCACATATTATGTTGGCACATATTTCAAATTGAAAAATCACCTCCTCTCTATAACTTGAAACTAATAGCGTAAACACTAACTTTGGACAGCAATCGAAAACTATTCCTCTTAATTTAACTGACAAATAAGATTTCGAAGCACCGGCTGACTACCGGAAAAATGAGTATTAGAATTTACACACAACGGACTGTTACGCACGCAAAAAATACCAAAAAATACCATCACACTCACAATCTTCGGTAAGGCCCAACGAAATGCGAGCACTTATCTACATCGCCCTTCCTTATTTACAACTATGCATATGTGCCATAATTTATCTAAATCAATTAAATTTCACTTTGATGAAGTCCCCATCTGCTAACTAATTCTCAAATAGGCGCAATAATACCTTTATCCAAATGTTTCTTAACTTCTATGTATACAAACAAATAAAACCGACTACATTATTGAACAAAATTACAGTAAAAGTAAACTACTAATCAAATAAAATAAAATTCATCAATTATTTGCCTATTTGTAACCAAATTCCACCAGATTTCCTGATCAAACAGTGAATAGGTTAAATACAGGGTGTCCCGCTTGCCATTCCCATAACTTTAACCGAACATTACGCTATATACGCCTTCTTTGCCAACCGGGAATATTACCCACGTCAATAACTAAGTTATTTTAAATTTATTGGTTTGTATACAGTAGTGGTCGATTATTTTTGGGAATTTGCTAATTCATTTTGTTTGAAGCAATTTTAATATTCCTAAAGGAATCAACCCGAGGAACTTATTTGCATGAAACAGATTATGTACTGTATTTATTGATAAGAATCGAATCCAAACAAAGGATTATTTTGCCTCATTCCGTTGGTTGAATGGAAATATTTATTAGGTGTGGTGTGTGGGAAAAGATATACCATAATTTAAAAAAAAAAGCTTTCACATTTTTAGAAGAACAAATCAGTTTCAGGCAATTCTCTTGTTATGAAACAATAGACAATTAGTATTATGATTATAATTGTTGCAGAGTTGTGAGGAATCCTAATGTATGGATATGTGGAAATCTCCCTTCAACATACCTATCCAAATTATTATGTCACTTAAAAATCGAAACAAAGCCCCTATTGAAAAACTCCTTACAATGTACACTGAAATTCGGCACTTCGCTTGTTCAGACGTTAAATATTATGCTTTAAAAGTAGCAGTAGTGCAAAGGGGTAAAATGAATGATGCTTTAATGAAAACTAAATTGAATTTTAAACTTTCGTTTCACTTTTTTATACTTCAGAAAATATGATCGACGATGAATTCAAACGAAAAGGGATTTTGTATGATGGTCGAGCAAACGCTTAATCTGATTTGCTTAGAACCGTACATTGGATTGAAAATTGTACCCATTCATGGTTTTCAAGGAAACTTAATAAAATTAAACTTGAATTCAATACGCTCATTTCCCGAAGTATAAACAACTAATGCGCAAGTATTTCGCGAATTTATAGGTATTAAGCTTGGTAAACACGAGGCTTACTGATATGTCATAAACTTAGGGGAATAGTTATGAACTTTATATAGTTTAGAGTAGATTTTCGAAAGTTCAAGAGACAACTCTATTAAGATAATTACAATGCGGACATAACTGTACAATGTGGTAGAGTTTAATAACTATTCATAATTGTTATTCCCGTCACTAATCAGTATTCGAAGTGCAAACATTGTTAATAAATCAGAAAGGGTACAGTAAGTTAGTGATCGAGTTAATGGCATTACTTATTAAAGTTTGAGAGATTTGTTCAAGTATTTGTTATAGAAACATTCAATTCTACTTGAAAAATGCAAACTCATCGTTCCATAAACAGATAGTATAATTTAAATAGAGACAGGGGCAAAAATACTTGCAACCTGTCTCCTGTCACATGCAAATTTGTTGTTCTAGTTTCTACACAAGCAATACAAGTAACATTTCCTAATCATAGTTTTTTTGTCTAATTTTGTAATTAACTTTCGATGGCCGCCCTTCTGTTTAATTTGGTATTAAAGACGTGCAAACACAGATTTCTTTGTGGGGAGTTTCGTCTTCTGCAATTTATCTGCTGTAGATTTCTTTATATCTCTTTCGGTTTCCCTATGCGCAATCGTATGGGTAGATAAAGTGAAACAAATGATTGTGCATTCTAATGACATCTGTCATTCTTATTTGAAATGCACGGTATAAAATGACGTTGAGAACATATGACAATTCTGTTTTTATGGAAACGATCGCGACGGCAAAACCTAAGCTTGCTATTTTTGACTTCTCTTTGAGATTTTTTTTAAACCAAAAATATTCAAGTGTTTTGAACGACACCATACCTCTTGAAATATTGTGTTTTTGATTTTCACAGCTTCGCTTTATGATAATTTTTTGTGGATCATATGGTATATTTTTTGTTTAGGAGTTAAAGTGACACTCTTTTTGTGATGAATCTGTAGGGTGAGTTAAAAACCGTTACTTTGACTCCAAACACATTTTCACACATTAATGTTACACAGAACTTCCATCTGTCAAATTGAAGTCTCTTGTTAAAGTTAAGTTGAATTTCAGTTTTATTAAGTGAAGGATTACAAAGTGACCAACTAACCTAGGAGGCAGCAGTTGGAGAGGTGTATGAAATTAAGCTATCGATTCCAGTACATTTCTAAGGCTGATAGGTTAATAGGAAATGGACAGTTATTAGATACAATACATGTAATTAGGGTACGTGACTTATTATGTGCATTTTGCTACCAAATACATAGCTGCAGAATATTATACGTTTCCAGTATTTGAACCAATTGTAAAAGTTATTGAATATCGAAAATTACAGTTCAGCAAAATAAAGTTATTTGTAACCTATGATCACTTCGCCATTCCGCCGTCTATGAAATGCTATACACCGTAATAATCGAACGAAATATCCCACTGCAATTATCCTAAATCCCGAACGTACACATTGTGAACATGAGCAGGCCAAAGTTACCTAACATTGATTCTATATTTTATAGTTATGACTTGCGGCAGCCGTTAGTGCGGCCATAGATTTGGTAGATTAGCCTGCAATGTGTATCGAGAACTTGCTAATCTATAATAATGAGTCCTTAATCTATAACGCCATTAGCTACGATGGTGTGTTTGGTGGCCGCAAATATGATTGAACTGATCGAAATTCTGCGCTTACTTTTATAGCTTTATTTATGACAAGCTTAATTATTACGTACTAGAAGAACGTCTTTACGAGATTAGTCTCGGCGTTGGCGTGTTAATTACATTTTTATCAGATGCCCGTCCGCAATCAACTTCGCGTCCGACGACTGCTCTATTGTTACGATATCTAATACTAACTCCAATCACTTCGTAGACTTTATATAGTTCCCTTGAGTAAAATGAAAATAATGTGCTTTTGCTTTTTCAACTGAAAAAGGTACGTCGAGTTAAAAAGCGGTTCAGACTTAAGCCGTAACGGTCATAGCATATACGCACCATATGTTGTTCGTCAACTTCTTTTTATCCAAACTGTTTTAAAATACTTGCAGAATTAACTTACCCCGAACAAAAACTTGTAATGAGTTCAGTTCTCGATTTCACAGGCGTATAAATTCTTTCGCATTTTGTTACGTATTATAAAATTAACATACTGTTTTATGCATTAACTTACTTCATCGCAAAACACACTATTGCAATTCTAGGCAATAAATTTACCGCTTGCTTTTATGTTTACATTGCAACCCGCTGCTGTCTAATCTTTATACAATAATTATTACTTAATTTACCGCCATTTGATACATAGAATTTGCGCCGCTCCACTCATTTTTAATCTAACAACGTTACACGATTTATGGATTCGTATATTAACGCCATGACAAACTAATTACAATTTATATGCAGAAGTTCATTGTAGTTTATTCATAAGCTGGTAGGTTTTTTACGGAATAAGTAAGGTATGAATAGCATTGTATCTCGCACGTGGCAAGACACTGAGAAATGCACCAGATCCTGTTATTGTTTTTCAATTTCCTTTCATTGATGCAGTTTCTTTGCCAATTCCATAACGGATGAAAACATTTAAAAATTGAAATTCTTTCATTAGAATTCGAAATGTAGGTATTGTAATTTAATTCTCATTGAACTTGATAGAACAGACAATGCTGGTGTACTTTCAAGTAAAGTATTATTCTGGACATAGCAATGCCTACACATTCAATTTAAGGGATGGATAGGGGTGTATTGCATGCTTGAAAAATAGGGCATTATTAGACATTCCATACACGTTGAGATTCTTACCCGTACACATTTCGATCTATTTTATTAAATTGTTTTGTGTTTTGTTCTGGAATCGCGCCTTCTTTGTATATAAGACCATATTAAAGATTGCAATGCTGGCGGGTGCGCTGTCCTCACGCGGCTCTGATAACCACATTTTTGTGAAAAAAAACTTTTCATGCAAAGAATCGAACCTGAGCCGCCCGGTTGCAAGCCAAGTATCCTTCCCACTAGACCATTATGGCACACATTCAGTCGTTATT